GATCTCATTATAATTTCTGTATTCTCCATATGTCTAAAATACTTAGCACAATGGGATAAAAAGCTATTATTAAAAGAAGAAAATTACAGCAAAGGAAATGCTTGCTGAAAAATATGTTTAGTTGTATGGCCTCCCTATGAAACAGTATTTTATTTAATAAATACAAAGCGTACCCTTACTCTTTTGACTGCGGTGAGACTTTTTCTTCAGCTTTCAGATTTTCATTTGTCTGCATAAACTCCCCCCTCCCTTCTTAGCGGACTGAGTTTTGTATTGATTTTGTAATGCATGTTAGACAAGTGGTGTGTAGAGCAATCAATGCAGTGCAGAATAGATCCAATGTATTGTTCCCACTCTGACCTGTTAGTAAATTAATATTGGCCACTTAGCGAAGAGCAAAAGTTAGTTTTAAATACGTAGCTATCACAAACAGCATAATATTTTTCTCTGTGGGAAAATTTCCAGGAAAATTTTTCCCTCTTTCCATTTTTTTTTCTCCTCAAAACACTTTGCCTTGTAGAATCCTATTTGTGAGATCGGTACAATCTTTACTGTTTTAAATGTTTATCACACTTATATCTAAATAATAGATAAAACCTTCAAGACTTGATGGGAATTGCTATACAAATGTGAGGAAGGTAACAGAGGAGAGGACCTTTGTAATGCCTGCTGACTTCCCTGTACAGTTCTGTACTGGCAATCAGCAGCTTCCACACTATGTTATATAGGATGGTTAACAAAAAAAAAAAAAAGTATTATGTTCTTTTTTGCCCATAATATTCTTTTTTTCTGTAGGAAGAGGCCTGTACAGCTCTGGATGTTACTATGCAACCAAATCCCCCTTCTGTCAGAGATTTCAGATGTCTTTGACCTTCCTCCACAAGTCCCACAGTGTGTCCTCTGCATATCGATGGGAAGCATGACCTCTTCTGCCAGTGCTTTTAAAGAGCTAGCAGATGGGGTCCCCCATTCCTCTTCCAGACACCTGCCTCTCCTATCACAAAGTGCTGGGGCCGCTGCGACAGAGATGTCTTTGGTCTCTTTCAGTGCTGGGAGTGGGAGTCCTGACTTGAGCACGCTGATGAAACAGACTTCTGAATTTCTCTACTTCTGCTGTACACTTTCAGACATTTTATAAAGTCTGCCAAAACCCCAAAATCACCCTTTAAAATGAGCATTCTGGAAGTTGCATAGTAAAGAGTATGCTCCTTGCTTGCTTAATAATTAAGGATATAATTAGTGTATAGCTCCAAATATAATTAAAATTCATTTTGCTAGGTCTAGGAATTACAAAGTAATTAAGCATTTTGACATGGCAAATAACAAGGAACCTGATTTGGAGGAGGGGGCTAGAAATGATCCTAAAGAGGATCATTAGCCCAGGGTCTTGTGCTTGCGACTAGTGGTGTGATCCCAAAGCGTGGATTCCACTTCCTCAGTAGGATATCTGACTCCAGGTTCTTCTGTGGTGCAGAGCATATCAGTGATCAGAGCTTTGGAGAGTTCACATTTTCTGTTTGTGTTCTCCATCAAGAAAGAGCTAAAGTAAATGGAAAAGTGATGCACTTGTCTTTTATGCAAGTGAACAGTGTGAAAAACATGCTTTCCTGAAATACCTTTTTTAATTTAGGTTTTTTTTTCCTTTACTGTGCATGTAGTCTGTTGACTAAATTTCAGCTCTTTATGTACAAAATGTACACTTGTATCGTATGGCTGTATAGTCTCCTTCAACGTGGGGTAATACGGTGCAGCAGCAGAGGAGGGAACGGTGTCATGCTGAATGCTTCAGAGCTCTCTGTTCCCCTTTTTTAACAGAAATGCAGAAACATGTATTCAGTAGCAACTCAAAACCAGTTAGATTTTCAGTATTACCCAAATCTTTGTCTTCCAGTACCCTATTTTGCAGCTTTTGGTTAACATGGGTGAATTTTAGTTATAGTTGATTCACTGACTCCTCATTAGCTGTAGCTGATTGTTGCTAATAAATGCGTTAAATCTTCTGAGTGTCTTAAAGGCCTGATACGTGATCCATTTTCCACTGCTTGTGCTGGATGTCCCAACTGGCTCTGGATTGACCCTGTAATCTTCACAAAGCCCCTCTCATGGATACAAGTGCTATTATCAGATTGCATTGTCTGTCAAAATTGTCATTCAAATGAAGAGTTCCTTCTTCTCAGCTCAGTCTAAAGCACTCATTGAATCTGCTGTCAAACTGAAATGTGTAGTTTGAAGCATTAACTGCTTTTATAGAGATTTAATAGATGATGCTCATTATTCATTAATATTAATTACTAATTATAGTTAATGTTCTTTTTTAGGAACAAATGTTCATGAAGCCCAGCGTATTCTGAATGAAAGTGGACTCCCCATCACGTCTGCAAATGACCTTGAGGATGCAGCAAAGAAGGCAGTGGCTAGTGTGGCCAAAAAATAACAACTTGAAGATTATTCTCGTGGAAAGCGTGTGTTTGTGTTTCACAAGAGGTCATTCCTGTTGTTGTTTCAGAGAGGATTAGTGGAGTTTTTCTAAGCAGTCATCAGTGTTGGTGGACTTAATTTGTAATACATGGCAAACTCAGGCCATAGGCTTGCAAGTTAGGCTTCAGAAATTTTGCAACTACGTTCTTGAAAAGTTTGTACGTCTTCATCTAATTTTGGTAATTTTCTTGTTCAGCATTGTAATAAGGAATACTTCACTTCATAAAGCTCTTTTTCTGCTTTCCTTCCAAAATTGTCACTGATAAACTCATGATATGATACGAGAATGAATAATTGACATCTATCAACAGGATTGTTCTTTAATCAAATGCATGTAGTTCACCTATTTCACAATATTTTCGTTCTTTTTTTTTATATTGTAAAGAGTCAGCAAACTAATAATGGGTTTATATTTTTATGGCCTTTTAAAATACTGTAAAAAATTGTGCTTACAATATATATTTTTCTTCAAATGGATAATGTTTATTTTCTTTTTTACAAATCACACATTTTGCCTTAAGATTATTTTCTTTTGTAGATGCCAAAGTATACCTCACAACAGGAAAAGTGATTGAATAGTTGGTAGTGAAAGGACCTTCCATTCTTACACTGTGCCTATAAGCCGTTGAAATGTGATTCATTTTATTTTCTAGTTTTTGGGGAATGAGGTGCAGTATTCCTAGGTGTAACAGAGCCGTACAGAGGGCTCTAGGAGGATGTGTCTGCCAGTAAGAAAATGGCTGCTAACTTTTTAAAATAACCTCTTTTGTAAGTATGTGACTGCTGTGAGGTTTTAAAATAAGGTGAGAACCTGAAGCAGTTTTCTGTCAGGAGCATGGAGTATTCTTCAATTGATTTAACTTCCAAAAACCATTTCTGATTTATTGGGAATAAAACACAAATTAACTTTTCCATTTTTAAAGTATTTGATTTCTCAGGCAGCAGTAAAAATATGTACAAGAAAAAAAATAGAAGTTTCAGTACTCAGATATTGACTGAGATTTATTTTGATTATATATTCTGTTGTAACAGTCAAAATTGAAGCTGTTAGTTACACAAATCATTCATTCAGGGAACAGAAGACAATACCAAATGGCTTGTGTAACTAAAGAACTCGGTACAAATCTCACTCAGCCCAGGAATTACATGCTGAAAATCATCAATAAATTTGAACAGCGAACAAATGAGTGGATATTATGATCTGGTGTTGTAAATGGGCAGAGAGGTAAAAATTTGTCTAATAAATTCTTAATTGTGATTTTTGAGTGGCTCTAATCAATACCATGTTCTACTTAGAAAAATGTAAATAAATTTTTCTTGACATTTCCATTAAAACCATTACATTCAAAATAAATTATCTGCACTAATCTCTGGCTCTTGACACAAATAGTATAGATAGGTTGCTATCATCAGTTACTGTAGTTTTTTTCTTCTCCATTCCTTTCTCTACATATTGCTCAAGGAAAAAAATGTATGACCATTACAATAGCAATAAATATGCCACTAGGTATGTACTTGTTGACTGAATGAAGGAGAAGGGTATCGTTAGCAGTTCTTGTGAAGGTGCATAGAAGCACGCTGCTTTGAAGGAAGAACTGTTTACCTCACCACGATAAATAAAAAAGTCACACTCTATTTTATATATTTTAATACTGGAAATAGAAGCATTCTGTGGAAGAACTGTTTATGCAATGTTGTCGCACACTGTGTATCTAACTTCTGGTCTCAAAACTGTTCATTGTGTGTGTATGTGATTATTATTCTGCAAAGATTAACTCTATGTACACCATTTCGTCAAATAAATGTAAAAATGAACCCATCTAATGACTTTGTCCTTTCTATAAAATAGAAAATTGTTCAGTTTGTCTGCTGTGTTCTGTGGTCTTCCATTCAGTATTTTGTTACAGATGGGTGAAATCAAATGCATAGGAATTTAGTTTCAATCAGGTAATATTGGTATACTCTTACGTATGTGCTTTTTGTCTGAAAAAGTAAATCTTTTTACCTTTCTATATATCTTTTCTTATATGTAGGCTAATGACACTACAGACAAGTTTTATTTCTCTTAAGCCATATACAGAATAGAATAGTATAACTTCTAATTTTTGGATGTCATATGAAAAATTTCATAAGCTCTGGGTTTGTGTGTTTGAACGTTTGGCGTTCCGCTTGCGCCAAGGCACCGTTTGCTCTCTGTAACCGGAGGCTCTCTTGCTGTGTTCAGCTTGCTTGGTGTGGCATTGTGGACTGCTTTGTTTTTATTTGCATGGGTCATTTAGAACCATAGAATCGTGGAATGGTTTGGGCGGGAAGGGGCCTTTAGAGCTCGCCCAGCCCAGCCCCTGCAGCGAGCAGGGACAGCTTTAACCAGAGCAGGGTGCGCAGAGCCCCGGCCAGCCTGGCCTGGGATGGTTCCAGGGATGGGGCCTCCACCGCCTCTCTGGGCAACCCCTTCCACTGCTTCACACCACCCTCAGTGTAAAAAATTTCTTCCTTATCTCCAGTCTAAATCCATTCTTCTCAGGTTTAAATGCTTTACTCCTTGTCCCGTCCCAACAGGCCTTGCTAAAAAGCTTGCCCCCCCCTTCCCGCAGGCCCCTCTCAGCACTGCCAGGCCGCACTCAGGCCTCCCCGCAGCCCCCTCCTCTCCAGGCTGAGCATTTCTCTGGCCGTGGAAATGTGTAAAGTTAGTTCTGGTCTCCCTTGGAAAGGCATTTTAGTTACATTTCCTGTGCTTTTAGCTGTTATAAATTGCAAGTAAACGCAACAGCTAAAAGGGATGCTTTTGTCTTTGCTCAGGCACGCAGTCGCAGCCCGGCAAGAGCGCGGTTTGCTGTCCGCAGCAGCTCTGCCTGCTGCCCCCGCCTCCGCGGGGCTGGGTGCAAGCTCCGCGCCAGCCAAGCCTGCCACAGCCTAGGCCCAAGAGGCTCATACATGAGCATCGCCCCTCCTGCAGACAGCGAACAGCAGCGTGAGCGGGTAAGTTGCAGTTCTAATCCCCTCTGTGAAAGTTTTAAGTGGGATTTAGTTAGCCTTTAAATCTTGAAATTTCAGCCTGTATTAATAAAGCTCTGTAGGGTCGGGCACTTGGAAGGGAAAACAGGAGAGAACTGTTAATGCTGACGTTGTGTTACATCTTTAACAAGATACCTTTAAATTCTCACAGTGAAAGTGTAACAGCTGGGAGTTCTGGAGTAATGTCCTTAACGTGCATTTACTATGCTATTTGTCAGCCCTGTTCTTCCCTACATCCGGAAAAGCAGCAGGTATCATGCAAAATTGCTGTGATTGGAACAGCATGTCAGTGCGAATCAGTCACCAGATGAGATCCCGAGCAGGGCCGTCCTTTCTGTCCTGGTTTCGGCTGGGTTGGAGTTAATTTTCTTCCTAGTAGTTGGCACAGTGCTGTGTTTTGGATTTAGGATGCGAATAACGCTGGTAACTCACTGATGTTTGAGTTGTTGCTCAGTAGTGCTGATACTAGTCAAGGACTTTTCAGCTTCCCATGCTCTGCTGGGTGCACAAGAAGCTGGGAGGGGGCACAGCCAGGCCAGCTGCCCCGAACTGCCCAAAGGGCTATTCCATACCATACGGCATCATGCCCAATATAGAAACTGGGGGGAGTTGGCCGGGGGGCAGCAATCGCTGCTCGGGGACAGGCTGGGCATCGGTCAGCGGGTGGTGAGCAGCTGCACTGTGCATCACTTGTATATTATTATGATGTTGATGGTTGGACTGATGATCTTAGAGGTCCTTTCCAACCTTAATGATTCCTAGTTTTTACTTTCATTATAAATAACCCAGCCACCAAGCCAGGAAACATGAAATTGCTACTCCACCTTTAATTGGTTTAGTGGTGGACTTGGTAGTGTTAGGTTAATAGTTGCACTGGATGATCTTAAAGGTCTTTTCCAACCTAAACGATTCTATGATTCTATTATTGTTATTTATTTTCCCTTCCTTTTCTGTCCTATTAAACCATCTTTATCTCAACCCATGAATTTTACTTTTTTGTTTTCCAGTTGTCTCCCCCATCCCACTGGGGAGGGGGAGAGTGAGCTGTGGGCTGTGTGCTGTTTAGCTGCCTGCCGGGTTAAACCGCAACACTTTCGCAGCAGAGTCTGCTTCCCCAGTCCAGAGCAGTGCTGTGCCGCTTGCCTTGCCCTCCGAGGTGAGCCTTGCCTGGGGAGGGGTTCAGACCTGGGCACCTACAGTAACCCCTGGTTGTTATGTGTCAGGTTGGCCCCGCTGGCTCCCTTGTGCTGAGCACCGAGCACAGGACTAGCTGAGTGTACTGAGTAGCCCAAAACAGGGGTCTGAGCAGCCTCGCTGGGCTGTCTGTGAGCCGGGAAGTCTGTGTGCACAAGGCTAGGTGCTGGCAAAACCACATCCTCTAATAAAAGCTGTCAACTTAGTTACAGAAATCCAAAAATCTCCTAGGCTTAGTGCTTTATTACGTGACATGTAAAGTGTTAGTACTAGATGCTGCTGTAAGCCTCTGAACTGATTGCAAAATTTCATGCCTTGTTTTTCTTTTTGCTGCCTTTCAGAAGATTGGCATTTCTTTTGAAGTCAAGCTCAGCTCTAGCAAGGGGCAAGTGCGGGAAAGCAGGTCATTGCATGTTCTATCATCTCAGATTCTTTCCCCTTTCTCTACTAAACTTTCTGGTTTTTTCCCCACTTTTCCACCCGCATAGCTCATAGAATCATAGAATATCTCCAGCTGGAAGGGACCCATAAGGATCATCGAGTCCAACTGCCCCTGTGCAAAGCAGTGAGAAGGTTCTCCTGGCCCTATAATTTTGGGGACACACTAGAGCAATTTCTGTACCTAAAAATCCCATTTTATATTCCCTAGGAATATAGCCCTAGGTAAATTTTTTGGTGCTGCTAATGCCATTTTATAGCAAGCTGTGGACCTCTTTGGGACTAATCTTATTTGTGCCTTGTAATTGTGGTGTGCCGTGTGGTGCCTTGTTTACTTACTTCTGCAGTTGTTCTTTAACAGATCAGAAAAATGCTCCACTATTATTTTGCAAGTCAAAAGCAGCTTCAGAGTTTTTAAAACTGCCTGAGATTTTACTGAGATTTTACAGATTATACTCAGTCCCTGTGCTTCCTCACTGCTTACGGTGTCGTCCTCAAAACTGGCAGAGTCCACACGGCTGGGTTTTGCTAGGTTTGCATGGTTGGGCCAGCTGGTCTGGAGCTGGATGCGTTGTGGGAGCATCCGGCCGCCCGCCTGGGGAGGGGGTGTGCTCTGCTCAGCCCATCTGCCAGCA